TAATTAAATAAATAATAATAATACTAATAATAACAATAAACCTAAAAGGAAAAAAGGAAATAGAAGATTAAGAGAAAATAATTAAAAACCTAAAACGTGATTAAACCAATACTTAAAACGAAATAAAACCCACTAATTCTATTAAGATAGGATAGTAATAAATTACAACTTAGCTTTACTTACCTTAGTCCTACTTATCTACCTTTGGTCTTAACCTTAGTCTGTTACCTTACGAAGACACTTTCAACTAGAATTACTTACCTTTGCTATAGTCTTACTATACATATACCACCTACCTAGTTATTTAAGAATACATATTTTTTTTAGTGTTAGGATGAGTAGCTTTAAGAATTAGATGTAAGAAATGAAGTGTGAATAAATTTGTTATATAAAATGGGAATGCTGATTCGACTCATTATTTAGGAAGGCATGTAGGGACCTTGATAATGGGGCTGCTTATATTAGGGTGCGCCAGCAGCCATGGCGAGGGTGGGCTAGCACCGGGCGTCACATGACCACCGGTGGCGCCCTTATATTCGGCCTTAGGTTTCTGTTCATTTTCTTTTATTTCAGAGTTTTAGTTTGGATTTTTTTTTTTAATATTTTGTTGCGTGTCCGTCCGTTAACGACTTTTGACAAGGCATGACCTTTCTCTGCTATGGCGCAGGAAACAGGAGTGAATGCAAGAACCCAGCCCAGCCGACATGACTAGCCACAGTGCACCCCATTGTGTCATGCCGCCTGCATTCACTACTGCTCCTAAAGTATGCGTACCATAACAGATGGCGCCCAACAGGGTAGCCTGAGGTCTGGTCAGGTTGACTGGTCCTGACTGGCACATGAGGCTTCACCATCCCGCAAGTCCAAGGGGGCGTGAGTTTGCTGCCCCTTGCTCCGTTGCGGCGGGATGAGTGGAGCTGAGTGTGCTGGTTCTGATCGGTCCTCTTGATCAGCAACCGAAGGCTCTCCGAGACTTCACGTCACGTCCTCCGGAGTTTTGTATTCACCCTGTGGGCAGTGCTTTTGGTGCGTAAATGATAACACAGTGTTTTATGCAATAGGGTTTGTCACGATCCGGTGCATACTCTCTAGTATGGAGGATAGATAGCATAAATAGCATGATTGTTGTTGTTTTATGTGTTCAAACAACAACAAAATTAGCCAATCATGCTATTTATGCTATCTATCCTCCATGCTAGGCAGTATGCACCGGATCGAGAATACCCCTACCACTTGTCGGGAGCTGCCATATCAATAATGTTGCGATGACCACTTGTTGGGGATTGCCACATGCTAAACGCAATTAGTTTTTTTGTAGTTTGACCTTTTTTCCTCCAACCTTGTTCAGTGGTCCGATAGGTCGGCATGGGAATTGGGGAAAAATAGTCCGCTAAGTGGGGTTTAGTATAAATAGATTTTTTTTTCTGCAGTTAAATTTTTTTTTTGCCGAATATTTTTTTTTTTTTGCTTTTTTTTCAATTTGCCTCCAATTCCAATGGCTAATCCCGTTCCGGGACTTAAGGTTGATAGCCGTCAAAGTTCAAATTTACTTGACACCTCACCACCCGGGACTTCGGTCCAGAATGTTTCCGCTACCTCCATGACTATGCTTTCGGGAAGACAGGAAAATGATAGGTCTTTGCCAGGGAATACCGGCTTTAGTGAAGGTATTGCAGAAGATAGGAGTAGACGTTCTAATGGCGGAGTGCCCGCAGGAGATTCGTGGGTAGGAGTGCTTCATCAGCTCTTACGTACTTCG